GTTCTCAAAATTCAAGAAGTCGTTGGAGCTCTAGTATTTTTTCCGTGATGTTCGATATATGCTCGCTCGCCGGCTGAATATCAGCACTACTGTCAAAAAGCATTCAGGCGGGATCGGCTATGCCGAGTCTTCTTTACAAGTGCTGTCGAGTTTTTGTACATAACTCGAGCTGTAGGATGGCTACAGAGCTTATACGCATTCGTAATCGATTCAGAATCACGAGGTACGTTCGTCTGAAGCATATAGAGGTCTGAACTCAGTCTGCTCCTCGAGCTAGGTCCCCGAAACTATTCGTACACTGTCTTTTTGGAGATGGTGAGACGTTTATCGACTTAACCCAAGCGTCAGATAAGCTAGAGGGCTCTCTGGCACAGAAATCGGGAGGAACCGGGCGCGCTAGTCTGAAGTATCGAGAGGCCTGAACTCGGTCTGCTGTCAGCACTGGAGCCGAGCACAGTCACATAAAAAATGCAAAATCAGCCTGGCGAAGGACCCAACCATATGCAGTTGAGAGTACCGCAATTGTGAATATCTTCTTCGGTGGCGCTCCCTATGGGGCCACGAGCCGTATGAGGGGTGTGCCGAAATGTGTGGCAGTGTACACAACACGAACGAAGACGATAGGTCCGAATATGAAAGCTTGAGCGCGTGCGAGTCGGATCGCGAGCGAGTCTGATTATGAATGAGTCTGCGCGCGATTGATTCTATTCGCATGAATGCGTGCATGGATACGCCCAGTGTAAATGTATGTATACGACTGTGAACAGTTTGGGTCTGCGTGACTCTCGGTACTCGTGACTCTGAGCGTCGCATCTGCAGGGGGCTTCCCTGGGAACCCCGACGGCAGCGCCCGCGCGCCGCGACGCCCATGTCGGCACGCCACACACCTGGTGTGCGGGACGCATGCGGACGGCAGCACTGGGGCCTTCGGTGGAGCTCCCTGTGGGGCCACGACACGTGTGAGGGGTGTGCCGAAATGAGTGTGCGGGACGCATGCGGACGGCAGCCATGGGGCCTTCGGTGGAGCTCCCTATGGGGCCACGAAGCGTGTGAGGGGTGTGCCGAAATGGGTGTGCGGGACGCATGCGGACGGCACCCATGGGGCCTTCGGTGGAGCTCCCTATGGGGCCACGAAACGTGTGAGGGGTGTGCCGAAATGGTGTGCGGGACGCATGCGGACGGCAGCACTGGGGCCTTCGGTGGAGCTCCCTGTGGGGCCACGAAACGTGTGAGGGGTGTGCCGACATGGGTGCGCGGGACGCATGCGGACGGCAGCCATGGGGCCTTCGGTGGAGCTCCCTATGGGGCCACGAAACGTGTGAGGGGTGTGCCGAAATGGGTGTGCGGGACGCATGCGGACGGCAGCACTGGGGCCTTCGGTGGAGCTCCCTGTGGGGCCACGAAACGTGCGAGGGGTGTGCCGAAATGGGTGTGCGGGACGCATGCGGACGGCAGCCATAGGGCCTTCGGTGGAGCTCCCTATGGGGCCACGAAACCGTGGTAGGGGTGTTGCCGAAATGGGTGTGCGGGGAACGCCATGCGGAGGCAGCATGGGGCCTCTTCGGTGAGCTCCCTGTGGGGCCACGAAACGTTGTGAGGGGTGTGCCGAAATGGGTGTCGGGACGCAAAGAACGCATAGGCGGACGGCAGCGACAGGGCCGTTTCGGTGGAGCTCCCTGTGGGCCCACGAAACGTGTGAGGGGTGTGCCGAAATTGGTGTGGGGGCGGCATGCGAACGCAGTCACTGGGGCCTTCGGTGGAGCTCCCTATGGGGCCACGAAACGTGTGAGGGGTGTGCCGAAATGTGTGTGCGGGACGCATGCGGACGGCAGCACTTGGGCCTTCGGTGGAGCTCCCTATGGGGCCACGAAACGTGTGAGGGGTGTGCCGAAATGGGTGTGCGGGACGCATGCGGACGGCAGCCATGGGGCCTTCGGTGGAGCTCCCTGTGGGGCCACGAAACGTGTGAGGGTGTGCCGAAATGGGTGCGCGGGACGCATGCGGACGGCAGCACTGGGGCCTTCGGTGGAGCTCCCTGTGGGGCCACGAAACGTGTGAGGGGTGTGCCGAAATGGGTGTGCGGGACGCATGCGGACGGCAACCATGGGGCCTTCGGTGGAGCTCCCTATGGGGCCACGAAACGTGTGAGGGGTGTGCCGAAATTGGTGTGCGGGACGCATGCGGACGGCAGCACTGGGGCCTTCGGTGGAGCTCCCTGTGGGGCCACGAAACGTGTGAGGGGTGTGCCGAAATGGGTGTGCGGGGCGCATGCGGGCGGCAGCCATGGGGCCTTCGGTGGAGCTCCCTGTGGGGCCACGAAACGTGTGAGGGGTGTGCCGAAATGGGTGTGCGGGACGCATGCGGACGGCAGCAATGGGGCCTTCGGTGGAGCTCACTATGGGGCCACGAAACGTGTGAGGGGTGTGCCGAAATGGGTGTGCGGGACGCATGCGGAAGGCAGCACTGGGGCCTTCGGTGGAGCTCCCTGTGGGGCCACGAAACGTGTGAGGGGTGTGCCGAAATGGGTGTGCGGGACGCATGCGGACGGCAGCCATGGGGGCCTTCGGTGGAGCTCCCTATGGGGCCACGAAACGTGTGAGGGGTGTGCCGAAATGGGTGTGCGGGACGCATGCGGACGGCAGCACTGGGGCCTTCGGTGGAGCTCCCTGTGGGGCCACGAAACGTGTGAGGGGTGTGCCGAAATGGGTGTGCGGGACGCATGCGGACGGCAGCCCTGGGGCCTTCGGTGGAGCGAAACGTGTGAGGGGTGTGCCGAATGGGTGTGCGGGGGGGGACGCATGCGGACTGGCAGCCCTGGGGCCTTCGGTGGAGCTCCCCATGGGGCCACGAAACGTGTGAGGTGTGTTGCCCCGAAATGGGTGTGCGGGACGCATGCTGACGGCATGCACTGTGGCCCACCTTCGTGGAAGCTCCCTGTGGGGCCACGTAGAACGTGGTGAGGGGTGTGCCGAAATGGGTGTGTGTGTGGGATACGCATGCGGACCGGGCAAGATACACAGTTGTTTCAAAGTGGAGCCTCCCTGTGGGCCATGAAACGTGTGAGGGGTGTCCGAAATGGGTGGTGGGGAGGCATGCGAACGCAGCCACTGGGGCCTTCGGTGGAGCTCCCTATGGGGCCACGAAACGTGTGAGGGGTGTGCCGAAATGGGTGGTGGGGAGGCATGCGAACCCTGCCACTGGGCCTTCGGTGGAGCTCCCTATGGGGCCACGAAACGTGTGAGGGGTGTGCCGAAATGGGTGGTGCGGGACGCATGCGGACGGCAGCACTGGGGCCTTCGGTGGAGCTCCCTATGGGGCCACGAAACGTGTGAGGGGTGTGCCGAAATGGGTGTGCGGGACGCATGCGGACGGCAGCCATGGGGCCTTCGGTGGAGCTCCCTATGGGGCCACGAAACGTGTGAGGGGTGTGTGGAGGGAGAGGGGGAGGAGAGGAGGAGGAGGAGAGGAGGTGGGACGCGGGGCGCTGTCTCTTCAAAACGAGGACCCAACACCACAGGATGGTTGGGAAAAAGTCAACAAATATTTTAACATACTCAAGAATTGTCAAAAGATCGTCCACAAACTATTGTTTGACTACCTTTGAATATTCCTCCTGTAGAGGGACAGGCCCGACTTAAAGCCAGCACCGAATCGCTAACTCGGACCGCATGGGCTCCTGCACGACGTGGACCTCCAGAGGCCTCGACCCCTTCCCGGGGACCAGTGCTGAGTTCCGAGCTGTTTTTTGCCGGCACTGCGGCTCGGTCGGGGCCCTGTGGGATCGGAATCTCCAAACATCGTCCGTCGAGTGCTTTTCACTACGCGAAGGGGTCTGGGCTCATCCGTTCCTTCCCATCCCCTTCCCGATTGCATGCACACGCTGGGTCAAACCCTGCACGTGACCTTCGGGAACCAGGGTCCTCTATTGGGAGACTCCAGTCGGCGGATGTAAAGGGATCCAGCGCAATGAGAATGGATGGTTCGGAGTGGTATGTCAGATGCAGGAGCAGCCAACATCGAATCGCTAAGTCGGATCGAGTGGGGACATGCGTCGGATCGAGCTGCAGAGGCACGGAATTGGAATCGAATCGGCCGCGTCAGGATGCACAACCGCGCCAAGGTCGCCTCGCAACTTGCGCTCTGGAGGCCGTGTGAGCCTCCCCAGAATTCTAACGTCGTGATTTCTTCGCAACGTCAACCCCCATAGTTATGTTGCTCCCATCGTACTACCGCATCCCAGAAACAATTTCGAGCACCCAGAAAAGTTTAGAAACAGTGTCTACCCGACACGCTAGCGGAGTGTCGAACGAGTATCGCCTCCCGGGGCCCGACACGTGAAAACCCTCCAGTTTCGGTGCCTCCTTGGCGCTCGAACTTCTTTCTGGTGATCAATGCTAAAGCAGGTTGGAACATCAGAACCCCAATGGTCTGGACCCCTTCGCGGGGACCGACTTTTCATCCCAGTCTATGCTTGCTCGCCGCTGCGGACCGGCGAGGCTGGGGGCCGAACACGGCCAAAACCCCCCCCAGCCGTGCTTCCGCCACCACGGGATCTCGAGGCGGGGGGGGGGCAGCTGGGCCTCCCCTGGAATCCTGCAGCCCTTCGCCAAACTTGAAGCACATTTTTCCAGCGCCGCGTCGGCACCCCAGAGCTCCAGATTCCAATGCCGATGCCGAAAGACCGTGCCGCGCGCGCATCTTAAAAGACTAAAATTGCGGCCCAGGCGGGTCGACAAAACGTGCCTGTAGTTTGGCGGAGTGCTGCGGGGACACCTCGGGTTAGGTCGGGCATGTCCTCCTACAGGCGGATCTTGGACGACAAATAAGAAATAATCAAACAATGTTCAAACATAGTCGAGCATAGTAGACAAGTCGTCCCCAGATTCTTGTCTGACTATCTTTGTATACTTCTCCTGTTCAGGGACAGGCCCGACCTGAACCTCGGGCGAAGAACGCCCCTGGCAACGCCCGAGGCCCCTGGCGCGGAGCGCGCGCGCGCG